GGACTGCTGTGAAATGTTATGTAGGAAGGACCGTTTTGTCTCTTTTGACCTCCTACCTGAAATCTAGAGCTGGTCCTGTGGAGCAGCACGGAGGTTTCCTACTTGCCAGAGCCTCAGCACCATTACAGTTACTGCCTGTTGCAGTGTATTTGCTGCAAAGTATTTCCATTTGCCAAGCACCTGGGTTCCTGAGGGCGATGTGCATACTTCTCTGCTGTAACACAGCTTACCACAGGATAAGGCTTCTGGAAAGAGTCCAAAGCAAGGGAGGCCTTAGTTCAGCTGGTCACTCTTGTTCGTTGTCCTTCATTATTGAACTGGATCCCATCCGCATCTCTTCCAAAAGTGCATCACCTTCCTTGTCCTTTCTGTAATGGGGTTGTCATCCACAACAGGACATAAAGAGATTAACACATGGGGTGGTCCAGACAGGCTTCTAAGTCAGCTGATTCTGGACTGGATGAAAGTAACCAAAAGCAGTGGTAATACAGCACTGAACACAAAATTTAAAAAGATGAGTATCAGAGTAGCCTGACCTGAAGGTGGAGAAGAAAAGCTTAAATTAAACATCTTGCATGAGAGAGCAGCCAGTGACCCTCCCCCTCAGTTCTACCCTTTCTTCACCCCTGCCTTGCTTCCTCGTCTGTGCTCAACAAATGGCAAGGCTGAAGCTGGCTGATGGTGTATGAAGAGCACAAAGGCGCAACCTGAGGAAGCATGTTAATTGTGGGAGAACACTGGAAGAGTCGGGCCCCCAAAGGACAGCTGCCTCTAAAGCAGACTCGATATGTGCAGCACATGTGGCACTGGATTATAATTTGGTGTGACTGGTAGGAGGTGTGTTTCTTCTGAATCAGTGGCAGTTGTTAATGTGGGAGCACCCACAGTGATACCTGCCTGGTCGGCCAGAAAGATAAGAATGGAGCATCTGGCTTGTGGAGGTAGTCTAGGCTGGGAAGTGGAATTGTCTTGGTTTTATGCAAAGAAGGTTTCCTTTGGATGGTTGATTGTTTTTTGCTTTTTGTTTTTTCCAGAACCAGTTAAATAGACCCTATCAATTAAGGATAAGCAAATGTTTCTACCACAAACTCATAAAGAAACCCACTAAATAATTTGCCAGGAGTTTTTTAAAACAGTCAGTCTCTTGAGAAGAAGGGTCTAGGACTAAATTAGCGAGAATGCTGCAGGTCAGGTTAGAAGTAATGCACGGTGACAGAATTGTTTGGAAAGATTTGACTGGAGTTCTCTTTCATTACAGCCATATCCAGCAAACACTTGCAGAAGGGGCAGTTCCTGCTCAGATGAGTTGTCCTTCTGAAATCACTCAGATTATTTAAGTGAAAAGTGCCTTTCCATGAGCAAGAATTTTCAGGGTCTTTTTTTGAATAGTAAGTCTATTCAGGCAGGCCTGGCTTATTAATAAACCTTTAACTGAAATGCTGCTATCCAGAACAGCACATAACGATCACTTTACAACATCAAACTTTTGTTTAAAAAATGTTCTAAAGTAAGCATAGACAGTATGCTGGCATGAAAACTTGTGATAGCTTTTTAAATGATGCATTTTATCTTCCGGTAGAGATTCCAGTCAGATTATTTTTTGTAGCTATAAATTGGCAGTTTGATTCTATGATGCTTTTACAACAGTTCTTACAGTACTTCTGTTTGTTTGCCTGTGGAGAAAGGTTCATTTTTAGGCATGGAGATTATTATAACAAGGAGGGCGGCCAAACCTGAATGGGTGGGGTGAAGTGGACAAAGTGAATAACCATATCCGATATCCTGATATAGAAGATTGCTTCTTTGAATAAAATAGTTTCACTGTTTGTAGGTAAATTGGTTTAGCATCCCAGCACAGTACCTGCAATTCAGTTTCTAAGTATGTAAAAATCAAAACAAAACAACCAAACAAACCAAAAAACCCTACAACCAAACCAAAATATATCCTTATATATACCAAGTGCTTAAGAATCCACAACAGCTCGAAGACACTGCGTTTGAAGTAATAGTTAAAAAAGCTGGCAAGAGTATTGCTGTTTGAATGGCTGCCTTTTTCAACAGTGTGTTATATTGAACAGTTTTTTGTTCCTGACTTAGAAACTGATTATGCATCCACTAAGCATAAAACTCTGAAGTCCAATCAATAATTTTATAAAAATGCACAAGAGCCACTGCCAAAGTGTCATAGTCTCATGAAGCTATGCAGAGGGGCTTGGCATGCAGACTGCTTAGTTATATTCACTCCTCTGTGACCCAAGCAGATTTTAAAGTTTAAAAATCTTCACTTTCACTTGAGAAAGCTTCCTTAAATGCACAGTAACCAATGCTTTTAGCTCCTCAGCACGTAGCAAAAAGTAAGTCCAAATATGGTTTGAAAAACTGTGGACCTTTTAAAATTTCAGAAGCTCCTTACAAGAATTAAGACAACAAAGAGTTCATGAGTGGTATGATGGAGTTTTCTGTTCCACTTTCTGCAAGGAATCATGCAGAGTGCCTCGTGTCCCTTGGGAATGGAGTAGCTGTACTGCCTGACGTCAGGCACTCCTGTGGGTGATCTGATTCTTCCCCTGCCAGCCTTTACTTCTTCCTCTTGGACTCTATCAGACATTTAGGCTCCTTAATCTTGGTGGTCTCATTTGCACCCTACTTGCAGACCAAAAGTCTCGGTGATAAACACCATCTTAGGTCCCCTCTAACAATCTTCTGTGGCCACATTGTTAAAATTGGAGGTGGTGGGGATGAGATGCTGTAATTTATTTAAATGGCCAAACCGCGTCCTACCTGTTGTTGCCAGTTAAGGTAATGCGTAGGAAACAGCCGTATCCTGTACGTTCTGCCCAAGGCTCTCTACCTAGAGTGTATTCAGAAAGGGACATATGAAAGCAAGTGGTGGAGTATGTTTAAAGAAAAGAGTAGATTTGAACTGTTCCCACTCTTTTAAACTCCAAGCTGGCCAAGCAACACTCAAAGTCCCATGATTTTCTAGTGTCAGAAGTGAATGCTATTTTGTGCCGTTTCCCAGTTCTGATGCCATTCACATGCACCAAAAGCTCAGCTTGCATATAGACAGCCCCATAGGCTATGCACATACTTGTTCCCAAGCAGTGCACATACAAATATAATTTACAAAAAGCAGTGCATATACACTGCAAAAGTGGTATAATTGGTGTTTTTACATCAGATTATTTTCTGTAGGTAAATGTTGCAGTTGTGCATTTCTGAATAAAGTAAAATACTTTGGTGTGTGAAATTTCTGGTTTTTTCTGTTCTTTGAATTTCTGAAGAATCTGGTTTTATGCCAAACCCATTTTTATGGCCATATGTTGATTTTTCTAGGCAGTTATAGGAGGTGACTAGATTGTACAATACCTTGTCTATCATGTCTGCAGGTAGCTTTGAAAGGAAGATAAGTGTCAAAAGTATAATGCAATCTGAGTGTAATTTATGAGAATGTTGTATGTGAGAATGTTTTAGGAAATCAGCATCGTTTAGATGGAGCTGAAAAGATTCTGAATCTGTCATCGTTTTGAGGATCTTTAAAGTGAAGTGCAAAACACAAAATAATGTAGATCTGTGAAATCCTCTATGTTATGTCGCTTATCCTCATCATGAGAGAAACAGTTGTCTGTGGAAGCTCTGACAATGCTATTGCAGTCTTTTTACTATATATTTCTTAATACACGTTCTGTTGCTGTTAAAGATATGTGAAATTACATTAAATGAAACTTTTCAATGACCTAGTATAAAACAAGTCTAATCAGAATGTAAACAATACTGCATACTTTCCTAAACATTCTGAAGTAGGTTGTAAAAGTATCCCACTGACTGTTCACCCTTTCTACCTACATCTTTAAAAAATATACTGTTTAGCATTTACAATCATAAAGAGATCACCTATTTGAAGACTAAGCCTGTCACAGTCTAGTTGTCTTAATGAAAGAATTGTTATATACTTTCAGTAGAACTCTTTTTTTAGCATCATTGAAATAAAACATGTGAATGTCTTCACTATTTTATTATTTTTATTTATTTATTGAAATAACTGCACCAATTTTTGTTCCTTGATATTTGTATAAACGTTAAGGTTAGCTGAGCTAACTGTTTAGTTAGGAAGATTCACTCCCTGTCTTTTTAGATTGTTGTCCTATAAATGCTTATATTGTTTACTTATAGTTTACTTACTCGGATGCATTAACAAGGTGGTGGCCAGCAGGTCGAGTGAGGTTCTCCTCCCCCTCTACTCTGCCCTGCTGAGGCCACCTCTGGAGTAATGTGTCCAGTTCTGGGTCCCCGAGTTCAAGAAGGACAGGGAGCTACTGGAGAGAGTCCAGCAGAGGGCTATGAAGATGATCAGGGGGCTGGAGCATCTTTCTTATGAAGAAAGGCTGAGAGACCTGGAGAAGAGAAGACTGAGAGGGGACCTTATCAACACTTACAAATATCTAAAGGGCGGGTGTCAAGAGGATGGGGCCAGGCTCTTTTCAGTGGTGCCCAGTGACAGGACAAGGGGCAATGGGCACAAGCTGGAGCACAGGAAGTTCCACTTGAACATGAGGAAAAACTTCTTTACTCTGAGGGTGGCAGAGCACAGGAACAGGCAGCCCAGAGAGGTTGTGGAGTCTCCTTCCCTGGAGACATTCAAAACCTGCCCGGACGTGTTCCTGTGTGACCTGCTGTAGGTGAACCTGCTTTGGCGGGGGAGTTGGACTAGATGATCTCCAGAGGTCCCTTCCAACTCTGATCATTCTGTGATTCTGTGATTTATTTGGCATGTATGTGTAGCAGGGTTTCAATCGGATGAATATTGATGGAAATATTACCTTAGGTTATAAAATAGTCAATCAGAGATATTTTTACTTTTGTTATTGTGGGATACCGAACGCTTTATTGGGACTTCACAATTAAACATGTGTGCACATACTTCATTTTTTTATGTGTAAAATAAAGCACATAATAACGTGTGATATCTATGTATGAAATTTGCAGATACTAAGAAAAAGTGCAATATTAATGGTATGCTTTTATTTTGTAGCTTGGATCATCCTCCTCTGTGCCTTTTACATCTATATTCTCGCAGCTGTTTATGACTGTTGTAGTCCCCCTTATTATTGGACAGGTATGTCTTTTAAATATACATTCTTACTTAAAAAAATAAGATAAAGAGAGCTATCTTAAAGACAGACTGGCAACCTGATAAGCTGGCACATAGGAACAGCCTCAGGATAGTAAAGTCTAATATCAGAGAAAAGATGCTACAGTGCTCCCTGGAGCCACATTGATCTTTGTTGAGATTGAGCATCTGTCCCTCACTACCACAAACATACGCTACTGCATATCGAGAAGGGAGTTTGTGAACATAAAGTGGGAAAAATGGCAGCCCAGACTGTGAGAAATTCCAGCCCCATGCAAATGAGCTTTGAGAATACTATATAGTCCTTTTGTCACATGCCCTTTGCCTGGATGATGAAGGAACTTCTCTCTGTGTAGTATCTACTACTAATTACAGGAATAAAAAAATTCTCAACGTTAATAAACATACAAGGGCTAAGTAGTCAGAAGTTAAAAAATCTAAAATTAAGGCTTCTCGAGCATATGCCTTACAATAAGGGTTTTAATTGCACAATTGCAAACTGTTCTTTCTGCATGGCTATTGTATCATTTGTTACGGTGAATGGAGAATATTCATGGAATGAGCAGCTGTTCAATATTTCCTTTTATACTCACTGTCCATATTGTAAAACAAGACTTTATTTTTCATGGCGTATGATAGAAAACTTTCACTGAATGTAAAGATACTAATTGCAATATAAGATTTTCTGTGACAGTTGTCTCTCTAGTATCTGGTTTGGGTTTTTTTTGTTTTTTGGTTCATTTTTTCTTTTTTTTTTCCTACGTCATAGTGGGAAATTGCTATATTAAGACCAAAAGTTGTCAGAAGTGTCCACTATTCTTGGACACCAAAACACCCGAAGCCTCATTCTTATGTACTTGTAAGTATTGGTTGTTCTCAGGCATTCAGAATGCCTGAAGGGAATATCAGTGGCATTTGCAGTTCATTGGCTAATGATTTGCCATTCAAGGGCTACTGTTGCTGATTCTAGCATCCAGTTTAACTCTGGGTTCAGCTGGAACTTTCTGAATGTTGTCACCCTAAAGCAGACTTTGAAATGGAAAGCGTGGTTAAAATGTCGGCAAAATGTAAGTGGAGCTTATGAAGGAGCACCCTGGATGAGGTTAAGAATATCTGTCATTGCCTGCCCTATGTTGAAGTGTCAGTCAGTCTTGTATCAAACTATAATTGCACATTTCACAATTGGCATGTACTGTAACTTAGCAAAGTCCTAGTGAAGTTTGTTTCTGATATGATCCAAAAACCTCATTAAAGTCTAATAAGAAGATGAGCATGATAAGCATGACAGTAGCCACCAGCATCAGTACCTGTGCAACCAGGCTACGATCATACTATGTGGAAAATGGACAAAACCTCTGTGTCCCTGAAGGCTATTGAATTGCTCATGTGCTTTGAGTTAAATGCCTAAGAATCTCCTTAATAATTAGGACCATAAAAGGCTGCTGATGAACCTAACTAAGTATCACATTCTTATCTCATTGTGGCAGCAAGTCTAGCAATAAAGTAATGTATGTTGATGGAGTGTCAGCAATCTGTACTACAACGTAATAAGTCTGAACATGATGGCAGACTGCTAGACAGAGTGATTGCAAAATTTCAAGAGGACTTTCATCTATACATATAATGGCATGTTACTTTGGAAAGGTGTTACAAGAAATTGTGATGTGAGCTAACTGGTGGAGTTGGGGATTTTTTGGCTGCACTAAATAGTAAGGTTAAGTAACATGAATTGAGCAGTAAGCATATGAAATAAGTGCTCTGAATGAGCATAAGTTCAAAATCAGAATTGTGATGAGACTTAACTGAGAGCAGGTGTGATTTAGGAGCTCTGATAAAGAATGAAAGAAAAAACAGAATCTTAAAGCTTGTGTAATTCAATCACTAATTTATTTAAGACTGCATTTTATAAGTACACTTCAACAAAGCATAAAGACTTTGTTTCTGAAGTTATTGCACTTGATTACATTTTTTCAGAGGATATGGAAGAGAGGAAATGCTAAGGATAGCTACAGATCAAAAATACCAAGGGTAGTTTACATTGATGGTCTTGATTACGCAGAACTGTACAAAGGTAAACCAACAGGCCCAGATAGAAATAAAAGCCACTTTTGAAGATGGATATCTAAAAATAACATGCAGTAATCAAACAATAAGCAAGGAAAGGACTGACGCTAAGAGATACAGTGAGGTCTGCTTGCGCTTCATCTGGAGGTGGCATGGATCTGTTCTGATTAAATGTGAAGTTTTGGATTTAGTTCGCAGACCACTACTCACTCATTACTGAGCTGTTGCACAACACACGACACAGCAACGTAATATTGCTTTGTGAATCACAAGATGCTCACTCTGGGATTCCAGATGCACTAAGAGATAACGGCCCACAATTTATGAATGACGGTTTCAGCAATTACTTCTAATATATCATTTTATGCCCACAATGTCAGTTCCTTACCATGTGCAGTCACACTGTGCAGCAGAAAAGTCAGTGGGAGAACGTCTGGTAATGTTACCTCGTAGCAAAGAGCTTGACTGGGGGAAAAATGAGCTTGGAACCTGCCTGCTTGCAGGATTGCTTCTGTTCAGCCTTCCTAGCTCAGCTGTGATGAACAGAGGCTTTACGCTTGATCCACATCAGTGTAAAACAGAGAAGGCTGCTTATAGGAAGCATTCTCCAAGGGCTTTATTTTCCTTTAAAAAAATCTCGCCTCTGGGAAAACCTGTGTTGCCTAAATGCTCATGTTCTGAGCAGGCTGCAGAGCCGGCTGTTTGAGCAGCCCCTGGGATATAAGCAAAGCAGATGAGAAGGTGCTTTTAGATTTGTTTTGTTTGCTTTATGGCAAAATGTATCAAGAGTTTTGGTTGCTTGGCTGACTTGTCAGAATTTTTAATGATGGCTGGGAGAAAGAAGTCACAATAGTGTAATTGATGCTTATTTTCTACTGTTTCTTGAACAATTTTTCAGTGTGGCAAGACTGCCTTTGACAGGAGTCAAACATGCTTTTCTAGCCTCTGACAATGAAATGTGTAAGGGGCTGCAGGTACAGACTCTGCTCAGGTGGTGGCTGCCATTTCTTAGGTAAAGAAAGATCTGTTAAAGGCACTGAGTCTTACAGAGAGCAGTTACTGATAGCTGGCCTTCAATAAGGAGAATCGCTCTGTTCTGTCAGAGATGTGCAGGTTGTCTAAGTTGTGGCCTGTGTCCTCTGTGTCTACAGATGTGTTTGGCTAATTGACAGTATGATGTTACTCAAATCATTATTGATAGTGTAATATTGCATTTGTATTTATAGAGTAACGAATAAGACCTCTCTGACAAGAGGTCTTGAAAAGAGACATAATCTATAGTATTTTATAAAGATCTAATGTTCTATAAGCCTTGAAGATCTGTAGTGTGTAAGAGCTTGTTACTTGTGCACCACTCTCGTATACCTCTAAGGGGAATTTGAGAATACTTGTTATACAATAAACATGGTAATAGATATTTTGTGGAAAAGATTTTTGAATTTTGACAGCTTGAAGTTCTGATTATTTTTTTGCCTGGGTAGCAGAGTTCTGATGAAGATTGCTGCTCCTGAGCTGTTGTGATTTTGCTAAAATAATTGTTTCCTTCTCTATAGATGTTGGTAATACTTTTAGCTAGCAAAATGTAAGGTTTCAAGAAACATCTAAGCAGTTTCTTTGTGACCAGTTGTGAGATGTGGCTGAAGACTATTGTTTCTTTGCTTATTTTTTTCTTCTGAAGTGACAGATAACAGGAACAGTGAAAACCACCAGAATATTTCCCTTCCCCTTTTTGCAGACTTTCTCCATTCTCTACACCTAAGTGCTTATGACAGACTTTTATTTTATGTTTTATATTAAAGAGCGATTTATGATTAAATGTTAATGAAATAGAATTTTCACTGTGCTTTCATTATATTCTACTAGTTTGAACATTTTTCAAAGCAGCACACCAAAACCCACTGTTTTCTATGAATAAATAATAAAAAGCTTGTCTGTACATTATCATTCATGCATTCTCTAGTTGCCCCATTGGTAATTTGTCTGCTGGCGTAAAGTGGGCACTTCACATTAAACAGACCTTAACGAAAGCTAAAATTAATGTTATGATTCTAAGTAGTTCTTCCCAAATCTATAAAGTGAAGCTAGTTGTACAGAAATCCTCGCTGAATCCAGTCACACAAAATAATCTTGATGTCCTACAAGTAAACAATTTTAAGTGCCTTCTGCATCGTTGCCCAAAATGGTCCAGAGGAACCCTATCAGCATTTGGGAGGTGTGCTTATAAACACAACTCTAAAAGGGTGCTATGTTGCAATACAAGTTGTCAGTGAAATTGAAACTAAAAAGCTTAGCAATGTATTTATTTTTAAAGAATAAGAAATTGAAAGGGAAGGGTAGGTAGCAGTTGCTAGTGAATAGAAGGTACTGTTCACCTAAGGCTGTTGTTTGTTTATAGTGTGGAGAGGGGAAACAATAGTTAAAGAAACTGTTACAAAAAAGGAACAGTGTCAAATCCTTTTGTTCTTGTAACTTAAATCCACATGGAAGTAGCCCTACTTTCTCTTCAAAATCCAGTGGAACTGCAGGGAGGAGGAGTGGTACCCTGGGAGATGAGCGCTTCTAGAAGCTTGTCGCAGAAAACTGAGATGGCAGATAAACAGCCTTCAGACCACAGTTCACTCCCTTCTGACGCGTGACTCAAACAGGGAACAGAACAAGTCTCCACAGAAATACAGAACAGGAAGAAAACATGGACTGCTGCTACCGGCTCCTTCACATTTTTGCCATGTTGCATCTGTTCATAAGGTTTTAAAGCAACAGTTGTAAATTACCCCAAAAATGTGAAACTTAATTTGAAAATGGCCTTGTGTAGGTTTTATAAAGCTTGCTTTGAAGGTGTGTATGTGTCAGGAGTGATCTCTTGGGAGTAAACTGACTGACATAATGGAGTACGATAGCTTTTAGGGGAGTTTGGTAGGCTG